AGCTAACCACGAATTTCAGAGGAGAGTTATCAGATCTTGGCGAACACTTTCATAAAGAAAGCCTTTCGAAAGGTTTGTGATTCTTTCCCCTTCTTTCCTCCGGATTAAACTTGGTTTTAATCTCGAGAAGAGCCACAATCTCGCTTGGTCGTGATTGTCGCTTCCGTAATTGCTTCCTTTGTGAAACAAGAGCGTAATTATATTGTTTATCGGGTTGATCTGCGGTGGTCCACGGACTAATGCATCCCCGGCACAGGCAAAGATCCTACGCAAAGCAGCGGGAGATAAACTACTGCTGCGTTTTGTTTGATAAAGTTGTAATCTTTATTTTTCATTGTAAGAAGATCTTATAAAAAGATCAACTTTTCTTTCAGTTTGAACTTGTAATCTATAAACGGTGTAACAGATTTGAAAACAATAGAAAAGGTAACTTTTAACACAAACAATGATCACTGATATGAACATAAGCCACACAACCAAATACCCGCAAGTATGAGAGATTTATCTTCTTTCCACTCCAAACCTCCTCTGGAATCCCAAAATCCTATGGAACTGATGGCCAGTGATTAATAAGGTAGGCTGTCGTATGCACCGCATCCGCCCAAAATATCTTAGACAGACCTGTATGTAATCGCATGCTCCTGGCACGCTCTGTCAATGTCCTGTTCATCCTCTCCGCAATGCCGTTCTATTACGACGTCCCTGGAGTAGTCCTCTCTAAGCGAATACTATTCGTAGCACAGAACCTCTTGAACTCCTCCAGCTCGTATTCTCCACCATTGTCTAATCTTAGACATTTCACCTTTAGATCTGTCTCGTTCTCCACCATGGCCTTCCACTTCTTGAAGATTCCAAACACCTCTGACTTGTGCTTCATGAAGTAGATCCACACTTTCCTCGAGTGATCGTCGATGAATGTGACATAATATCTCGAACCGCCAAAAGAAGACACACTAGCTGGACCCTATACATCTGTATGAATCAATTCTAGCTTCTGAGCCTTAGGTGGCCTTCCACCCTTCTGAAAACTAACTCTCTTCTGCTTCCTGAAGATGCAGTCTTCACAAACCCCGACTTCCACGGAGTCAATCCCGGTTAGCTTTCCCTGTGAATGTAAGATCTTCATCCCCTTCTCGCTCATGTGTCCTAGCCTGTTGTGCCACAGATCTGTACTCTCTTTGTCAGCTGTAATTGCGAGGGTGTCACTCGCATGTAAGGTGAGGTAGAGAGTCCCTATTTTGTTACCTCGAGCAACTATCATTGTACCGTTAGAGATTCTCCACGAATCCCCTGTGAATGTCTAAACATAGCCTTCTGCTCTAAGCTGTCCCACCGAAACAAGATTCCTCTTCAGCTTCGGCACGTGTCTCACGTTCTTCAAGGTCCACTTAGAGTCATTCATCTGAATCTGCACTTCACCCTTTCCAACGATATTACAAGGCTCGTTATTCCCTAAATACACTTTTTCAAAGTCCCCTGCTACATAATTCTGAAATAGCTTCCTGTTAGCAGTGGCGTGGAAAGAGGCTCCTAAATCGATGACCCAAGAATCCGAATCACTGTCCATAGCAAGGATTAAGGCATCCTGCACGATATGAGCCTCCTGCTCACCCGCATCCTTCTTTGGACTTTTGTAGACTGAAGACATATGGCCCTCCTGGCCGTAGTTTCAACATTTCCCTTTGATAGGCCTAACCTTCGAGTTTGGCCTCTTCTTCACTGATTTCGACCGATTCCTGTTCTGGTTTCCTTTCTTCTGGCTTCTGCCTCTCTGCTCGAAGTTTAGAGCTTAACCTGAACCTTCTGATTCGGACGATTTCCTTCTAACCTCCTCGGATAGAATCATGCTAATAACCTGACTCAGCTTCAACTTCTCCTTTCCTGTTGAATTGCTGATTGCCATCACACAACCTGCCCAACTATCCGGCAACTGTGATAGAATCAATAGGGCTTGCACTTCATCATCAAACATGATGTCCACGGAGATAAGCTGATCAACAATCGTATTGAACTCGCTGAGGTGCATCGTGAAGGACCGTCATTCTGCCATCTTGAGGTTGAAAAAAGTTTTGACGAGATGCACCTTGTTTGCTGCTGACGGTTGCTCGTACATCTTCGCGAGCGCTTTCATAAGCCCCACTGTCGTCTTCTCCTTTAGAATATTGTGGGCTACTGATTTGGCGAGTGACAAATGGATTTGCCCTAGAGTCTTCCTATTCAGTATCTCCCAATCACCATCTGACTCCTTCTTCTTTCCCTTTTCCTTGCCCATCAACGGGCGATACAAGTCCTTCTGGTACAGATAGTCCTCCATCTGCGACTTCCAAAAGGTAAAATCTGAACCGTCAAACTTCTCGATCTTTGATTTGTTTTTCTCTGCCATGACTTTCACACAAATTGCTGAACGAAGCTCTGATACCAGTTGTTGGGAATTTGAAATAATCAAATCAAATCCGTACCCTTCCGGATCTTGTGTTTGAGAGTTGAGCAAGAAAGAAATTCACTACAAATCAAAGATAAAAACTTGTAGAAAAGTAAACAAAAAAGAACACACCAGATTTAACGAGGTTCGGCAACGTGCCTACGTCCTCGGGAGCCACACCACACAATTCTTTGATTACTTGAAGAAGATTACAATGCTTGCAATTGGCCTCTCTCTCTAAGATTTCTAACCTCAAAGAGCCCTCAAAACCATCTTTTTTCGTGCTCTTTTTCTCTCTTAAACCCTAAAGGGACGTGTTTCTATTTATAATAAAACACAATCCCAAACAGATTAGGATTCTAAAACGAGTCTGCCACACCCTGGTGTGGCGCAGACCACACCCATGGCAGACAGGGCAGATTCTGCCACACCAGGGTGTGGCGCAGACCATACCCATGACAGACAGGGCAGATTCTGCCACATCCTGGTGTGGCGCAGACCACAACCATGACCTGTCTTGAATTTTCATGCAATTATTGATTTTGATTCTAGGTTTGAGTCTCCACTCTCAAGACCAACAGTGTTGTAAGCATTTGCTAAGTTATGCAGCTCTGCTTGGGTTTCCCAAAACTCTTTTCTAGGTTTTCTTTCTAAGTTGAGCTAAGTTTGTTTCTCATAAAATAGCCCTATATTCTTTGACTCGACTTGTCATCCCACATATTTTGAGTTTTGCACTTTCAGGATAAGTATGCATTAGAAGATGATAAATGATACTTATAGTACCAGTTAATTGTTAATTGGGCACCTGATCTATCCTTGGTGCGTGCTGTACAAGGCTAAGAAGTTAAGTAGCTTTCCCTTCATTTTTAAGTGCTTTCTGCTCATGCATGTGTATGTAATTAACGCATCTGTTTGAATTTTTTTTGCTTTTTTTTGTTATGAGTAATTAAATAATGCCTTCTTCAAAGTTGTAAAACTTATCACTGGTTTCCACTGTTCACAGCATGGGTGAGCTTGTCTCCGCTCTTTTTGTAATAGCCCAGGATATATACTATATATATATATATATATATATAATATATATATATATATATATATATATATATATATATATATATATATATTATATATTATATATATATGATATATTTATATATATATATATTATAAAGAAAGAAAGAAATAGAATTTTACCTCAGCTTGAGCAGTCTCATTTAGAGCCTCTTGGAGATATATATATATAATATATATATATACTATATATATATATATATATATAATATATATATATATATTATATAAAGAAAGAAAAGAATTTTACCTCAGCTTGAGCAGGCTCATTTAGAGCCTCTTGGAGAATCCTATTAGTGACGTGTTCTTTCTCCGTTAACCCATGAAACCATCCCTATGAAATCCTAGCAACCCTAAACCGTTAACCTTTGTCTCTCACCTTCTCTTTTAAGCCGATAACTTAGCAGATGGAAGAATGAAACAGAAAAAAAACCCAAAGAAAACCCACGAAAAAAAAGAGGGAAGAAGAAGAAGAAGAAGAGGAAGGAACGGGATCAGCAACCCAAGTTCAAAATCAATTAAGGTATAACACAATCCTTATGATTATCTGAAATTTTTTGATTTAGAAGAGTAAAATTGTTATAGAGATCTTAGTAAATCAAATCAAAATAAAATGAATGAAGTTAACTTGTTATGAATATGAAATAAAAGAATCTAGGGTTTGCAAAGGAGTTTTTCTGTGTTTAGGATGCATGAAAACAAACTGAAAAAAGGAAAAAAAAAGGACGTAACCTAGATTTGGTGGGTTCTTGTCGTCGGCCTCTCGCTTGTCGTCGGCATGGGCTCCTCGTCGCGTGCTACCATCCATGGCGGGGAGAGCCTTCTCCTTAGAGAGAGAGAGAGAGAGAGAGAGAGAGAGAGAGAGAGAGAGAGGAGAAGAAAACCGAAAAAAGAGAGCAGATGAAAAAAAAGAGCAGATGAAGAGAAAGAGGAACGGGAAAAAAAAGAAAAGAAAAAAAAAGAGGAAACGAAGAAGGGAGGAGGAAGATGATCTGTTGTAATAATATAAGAGAGGAAAATTAGCTTTAAGCCCCTGAACCATGGAAAATTTTGAAACAAACCTTATAGTAATAAGTTATGGTTGAAAAAGGACTGGAAAATATTTATTAGGCCCCTGTCTTTTGTTCAGTTGCAAACAAGTCTAATCTGAGGAATAAACAATAACTTTTAGACTTGATAAAATTCCCTATAACCCCCTGCATTATCATAAATAATTAGGAAGTCCAAAAGATAGTATATGAGAGTTATAAAATTTTGATAAATTGTTAAGGTTAATAAACTCATATATACTGCAGAAGTTAATTATTATTGATTTTATCTGAAATTATTAGGCTCTAGACTATGAATTGATTTACCTATAATATATGTTTGTTCTGAATTAATAATTAGTCATATATCTTATATTATAGGATCCGGTTGATATCAAGGGAACTAATATTTTGGGATAAAAAAAACATCTCAAGCTATTGGTAATCTTCATTGGCTTATCAGTGGTGATTTCAATGCCATGGTAAATAATGATGAAAAGCTTGGGGGATCTACTTTATCTGAGGGTGACATAAAAGATCTCAGGGATTTTATAAGTGACAGTCACCTCAATCATCTCAAGACAATTGGGTGTTTCTTCACTTGGAGCAACAAGCAGGACCCTAATTCAAGAGTGTGGAGTAGACTAGATAGATCCTTGGTGAATGATTCATGGTTGCATAAACATAACTCTAGTCAAGTAGAGTATTTGCTACCTGGCTTATCTGACCATTCTCCAGGGCTTATCTTCATTTTTGATGACTTTAAACTGGGAAAGAGGCCTTTCAAATTTTTCAATATGTGGATTAAACATGAAAATTTCCTGCCTGTAGTATCTAGCATATGGCAAAATGAAGTTAAGGGATATAAAATGTTCTCAGTTTGGTCAAAATTGAAGCTGCTGAGAGGTTCACTCAAGGAATTAAACAGGAAACATTTCAACAATATAGGTGAACAAGTGCAGAGAGCAAAAGTAGCTCTGGAAGAAGTACAGGGAGATCTTCAAAGCAACCTTATGTGTCCAAATCTCATTAACAGAGAAAAAGAATGTTTAGCTTTATATAACAAATTGCTGGATTGTGAACTGTCCTTCTATCAACAAAAGTCCAGAATTGCTTGGAGTATCAAGGGAGACGGATGTATAGATTTATTTCACAAAATCTTGAAATGTAACAGGCATCACAATAGAGTCTTAGCTCTTTATAAGAACACTGGGAAAAGGATGATTGATAGTGATGAAATTGCAAAGGAATTTGTGTCATACTATCAAAATCTAATGGGGAGAGCTACTGATACTATAATTCCTGATATGAATGTGATCAAATCAGGGCCGTGACTAAGTGATTCTCAAGCTAAATTCTTGCAAAGAGCTGTGTCTAAAGAAGAGATTAAAGAAGCCATTTTCTTAATGTCAGATAATAGAGCTCCTGGTCCTGATGAGTATGGTGCATGTTTTTTCAAATCAGCTTGGTCGATTGTGGGTGATGAAATCACACAAGCAGTGGAGGAATTCTTCACTTCAGGAAAGCTTTTGGGTACATTAAACTCAACCTCTATTACTCTTATACCAAAGGTACATTGCCCTAAAACACCTTTAGATTTTAGACCAATCTCATGCTGTAATAGTCTTTACAAATGTATATCAAAAATCCTGGCAAATAGAGTCAAATCTGTTTTAGGCTGCTTGGTGAATGAGGCTCAAAGTGCTTTCATCAAGGGTAGACAAATAACAAGTAACACTTTGTTGGCCCATGAACTTGTTAAAAGCTATAGCAGGAGGAACATATCTTCCAGAATCATGTTAAACATTGATATAAAGAAGGCTTTTGATACCATAAGTTGGAATTTTCTGCAAGAAATGCTCAAGGGACTTGGTTTTCCAAAAAGGATTATTGACTGGATCATGGTGTGTATATCTACTCCAAAATATTCCATCTCCCTAAATGGTACACTGGATGGTTACTTTAAGGGGGAAAGGGGTTTGAGGCAAGGTGATCCACTCTCACCATATCTCTTCATTTTGGGTATGGAGTATTTGTCAAGGAGCTTAGACCTTTTGAAACAGGATAAACAGTTTAAATATCATCCTAGATGTGGCAAAATGAAGATTACACATTTAATCTTTGCTGATGATCTATTGCTCTTTGGTAAAGGAGACCTATATTCAATTAAGAAACTTTTTCAGTGTGTCACAGACTTTGGAAATGTTTCTGGACTGGAAGCAAACAAAGAGAAATCATCTATTTTCTTTGGAGGGGTTGAAGAACCTGTAAAAGTAGCTATAAAAGATCAACTATGTTTGACTGAAGGATGTTTCCCTATTAAATACTTGGGGGTTCCTCTAGTATGCAAAAGGCTGTCATATGAAGACTGTAATTCTCTCTTAAACAAGATTTCTAGTCAAATACAAACATGGAAAAAGCACAGAAAACTTACATATGCTGGCAGATTACAAGTGATTAAGAGTATCATCTTGGGAGTTCAGATTTATTGGACTTCAAATTACTTATTGCCAGTCAAGGTAACACAGAAAATAGATGAAATATGTAGGAATTATTTGTGGGGGAGTTCAAATCAAACATCCAAAATACCCTTAGTATCCTGGGACAGAGTTTGTATGGGGAAAAAACAGGGTGGTCTGGGCATTTTTTCTGCTTCAGTATGGAATCTTGCAGCTGCCTTAAAGAACTTATGGAATATTCATGTTAATAGGGAGTTAATGTGGATAAAATGGATTCATGGTACCTATCTGAAGCAAAGGGATATCTGGCATGTTAAAGCAAGATCAGGGGACTCTTGGATGTGGAAACAATTAATCAAAGCAAGGGACAAGGCTTTGATTTTCTGTGGAGGAGTTGGAAACCTAACTCAGTTGATTGGTTCTTGTTATAGGGGGG